TATTTAATGGTTTTTCCCAGTGAAAAATTACCATAAGAGGGTTTGAGGATTAACTATGGACAAATATTCTCAGTATTGAAATGGGAATAAAACATTATACATGTGACTAAGCAGACAAATTCATCCTTACAGAAACTTAAACTTGACCAAAGTTTCAACAAAAGCACTAAAAAGCTCTGCAACTTGCATGATGAATTAAGGATTTATTAAGACTGGAAGAAGAATAACATGGAGTCAAAGTGGAAAGTTGTTGTTTCAATTCTGAATTAAATGGTTACAGCTCACATAGCAAATAAGTTGCCCCCAGTCATTCATACCCCCCAAACTCAAAAATTTTCTGCCACTTATGTCAATGATTAAATGGACTGGCCATCATACACACTACATTCAAAAATGGTTGGACATGAATGCAATGCTCTGAAAATGTGCTTTGCACCATGCAATTCATCTTCAAGTAGTACTCAATTTATTGGAAATATCTCTGATAGAGGAATGGTCAACAGCTCACCGGTTCACTTGTTTTGAACATGCTACATTGTTGTAGTACTTGAGTTTTTTGATAATTAAATGGGCTACAAAGTTTTACTTTATTATCAAATGAGTATTTGTGAGCATACATTCTACCAGTAGATATCTGTATATCAGATGACATGGCTAATTATCCAACACTTGCTCTACACTGAAATTAATTCAGTCGTACATTTGAGATTTAATAATCCTAGTAGTAAAAGCAGTAACTGTACAACAGTAATTAGTATAGTTAACATTCAAAAGTACCAAATGTCCACATACCATTATTTTACAACTACTAGTAATAGTGTTATTATGTCACTGTCATCATTGCATTTGCAATTTGTGTAACACTTAAACTGTAAGATTGTAAAAGTGTAAATTAAAGTACTGCGATTTTACTCGACTGCTAATGCACAAATAAGAATCGGGTATTTTAAGATCCAACTACTGAAGAATAAGAATTAATGCATTTAACTTTAAGATGATCATGATGGGTCCATCACGTGATCATTATATTCGTTGGTTTGATTTAATTAAAAGACAATTGATCATTACAATAATTAAAGAAAAAATACAACAGCTGACCTGAGTCTTGTACATCCCCAGTGTAGGACGAAGCAGAACTGTTACGCTCATTTTGAATCAAAGGAGCTCTTTCATCTGCTTCGTTTCTCTCCATGATTCTATCTGCACCTACCGTTATCGACCATTTGGCAGTAGCCACCTAGGATATACAGGTAGTTATGCATCATAAAGTATTTGTATATATTGTAGTAGATAAAATAAGCGGTAAGGTGCGATATTTTTTATGAAACTACAACAAAACTTTTTTTCATATTTTTGTATAGTTAAGTTATGTGTAATTTTATATTATCTTTTTAATATGTATGAGTTTTATTCGTGTTAAAAAAGGTTATAAGTTCTTAGTTACTAAAACGATCAAGATAAGCGAATGGAAGTTCCTGAAATAAAGATGTTATTTAAAAGCTACTTACATGCGAGTTTGCCCCTGAAAAAGAAAGGCCTCGTATCTTTGTGTTAAATTAATTTTTTGAACCAAAGGCATGGACAGGCTGAGTTCCTGGCGCCTGAGCGCTCACATTTATTTAGAAAAAAATATATATCATTTGACATATTTGGCAAAGTACAAAAAAATCAAAAAAAAATCATGCATATGTGCTGGTAGATGGCTGCTAAGTTGACGATGAAGAAAACCATTCACTTACGCATTATTC